CTGTATATTATGCATATGCATCCAAACGAAGATGCATATGGGTATACACAGTGAAGAGTGTAGAACTCGAGTATGCGTATGCGTATTCGTGTGTGTTGCTGATTGTGTGCAGTTATGTGGTTTAAACTCAGTACACATAAATGTGGCGAGTTTTATGTACGCAAAAGCACACAAAAACATATGCATATATAGTAGACGCTTGAATTTGATGTGCGTGCTTTCCATATTTTTTTTTGATGTACCTTATATCAATGCTCGTAGATGCATACACTTTATTGTTAATTAGTTTGTATATTACACTTTGTTTACACAAAATTTCACAATATATAGATGAACAAATCCACATGCTAGAAATCAGTACAAATTTTTGTCAAATATATGTTTGTGTTGTACAATATACTAGACATACATGAACGGTTGTTCAATATAGATAAACAAATCACATACTAGCATACATCTAACCCCACATATACATACAAGAGCATAATCATGTACGTAGTACACGCGCATTATGTACATACATTTATATCATATATATATAAGTTTTTTATCGATATATAATCTATATATCTATACTCCAATCGTTATAGCACAACTATTCAAAAGTACAGGCCTAATAGTATGGTATCAAATAAATTGATACACAAATACAAGGCTTATACATTATGGCATACCGTTGCTTTTGTGTTGCCAATGGTGCTACAGCCACTGTTAGTTCCATCCGGACAGTATGCTTGGTTTTCCCATTCCGTGAATGCCACAACTGGTTCAAAGGCTCGGGCAGTGCTACTTAGTGAAAGCAAGCTGATAAGAATAAAACACAACATCCTGTGTTTGCTTGATTGTACAGCTCGATTGCAACTAGATATGCGAACGAATGCTATGTGCTTATGTAGAGAACTGGCTCAGTACTAGCTTAATATCGACGCAAAACAATATAAAACTTGTTGTCGATAGAGCTAGCTCTAGTATGAAGAAGATCAACAACGCATTTCAGATATAAACATACGCGGGAATATAGGGTCGACAATTTGAACAAATCTTTTCTTCCCTCAACGAAACCCCTCTAAGTCGGTAGTATAGCGCAGACACATCAATAGTTTGTACACTTAACATATTGGAGCACCTGGAAATCACCTCACGGCTCACGCTTATCGGTACATCTATAGGATGGTTCCATCACGCTCGCTGAACGACCAACAAAAATTTCACCACTAATAAGTCAGGTTGCGTGGAAATTGAGATCTAAGACTATATTCATTGGTTCTCATTTTACGGATTTATCTATACCGAATCCGATTCGCGACCAGAAAGAAAACCAGAGAGTCCAGTCACTCCAGGACTCCAGTTCCCGCAGTCCTACGGTCCCGCAGTCCGGGGCCTCAATGCTCAGGTCTGAGGGCTGAGGGCTCAGGACTTATAGCTCAGGACTACTTGGCCTTAGCCCGCAGGTTGTGGCAGCTATATACTCTATTTCCGAGCTGGGAACTGGGGCCTACCTGCGGACTAGGGTCTGGAGTCTGGGGCCCTGGACTCACCGACAGGCCCCAGGGCCCAGGCCCGGGACCGCGTAGAAGTTAAGACCATAAGCGGCAAGTGCTGTCAATCTGTCGTCTCTTTTGTGATAAATACTAATATTTAGACTGATAATCTGATAGTACATTTAAAAAAAAACAAAAAAAACAAAAAATCAAAGATATTTACACAGCACTGATAGTCTGATACATCATACAGTGATAGTCATACATATAGGGGTACGATAGGATCGTGGGAGAGTGGAGATAGGAAGTCTCTCGCTCTCTCTCTCTTCTTGAGAGAGTAAATAGAGTTAGAATAGAGAAGACTCACAAAAGGACAAGGACCCAAAGAGAGAGTCTTGGAGAGAAACTGACAGAGATATTGCTACATATATATTTTTTTCATACAAAATTACATATGTAAGTAAATACATAAATATGTGCATGCAGAATTGCAGAATGCAGATGTACATAGGACTAAGCCACTAAGGACACTCTTGCTGATGCTGAACTGCTGACTGATGAAGCGGCATTTTTGATAACCAATGAAAATCGAGCTTCAAACTTGGCCGCATAGAAACAGATTATAATTGTAACAAATCATACATGTATGTACTATTATGTAAAAACATACATATTTATTATTTTCATTTCCGATGTGAGATGTGAGATGATAATAAGGATATTACGGAATATTGTCATTTTTGTTTCAGATGATGAAAAAGATCAAAATAGAGAAGGGACTCTAAAGAGAGTAGCTCTACTCTCTTTCGAGAGAGAGAGAGGTTACAAAATATTGATGTACAATAATATAGTCATCCAGTATATATCAATATACTATGTCTGCGACTCTCCGACCTCCGAAATAAAACTTAAAAAAGGATGACCCTTTACACTCTAGAGGACGGCAAAATCTACGACCCCCGGTCCCCAGGCCCTGAGACGAACGATAATTTGTCATATTTTCTCCGGCATTGGTTAATCTTGGATTTGTATTGGAGTAGTGTTCTAGACCAAATATTATGCGATAACATGTCACGGGCCACTCCAACTTTTTTAAAAGAAACTCAATACGCGTCTAAAACGCGTTATTCTCAACTTATCTTGGCTATTTCAAAAAAAACTATTTCTTTAACCGGTTAAAATTGC